GGTCGGGGCGGGGCGGGGCGGGACGGGCACGAGTGGAACACCTTACTCGCGAGGCGCAGACAAATGCCGGATGCTCCGCACAGCTCCGCACAGCTCCGCACATGCCGATCAGTCCTTGAAGGCGCTCGAGGCTCTCCGTCACACAACAGATCGTGACCGGCGAGCTTGTTTCTAGGCGGCTCGAGCGGCTCTCGCGCGTCTCATCTTCTCTTCTCTCTGTTTTCACAGCATGGAGTAGAAACGAAGCAACGTTAAGGGAAACGTCCAAGTTCAAGGACACGAAAGATCCTGTTAACACATTGAGTGTGGTGCACTTTTAGCCGCGTAAGACCATACATTGTGGTCACGCCACACTCACAGTCAAATTTCTTTTTGGATTTCTGGGTGGCAATAATTTTGCTCACATTTTCATCCTCAATTAAAATGAACGGGGGAATGCAAATAGGCCGCATGCAGGCACACCCACAATTTGATAAATTTTATCAATATATTTTTTTTGGACTATTTTCCTATTTTTACTGTGACTCTCAATTGACTCGGACGCATTGAATGCGGGTGCTCTGAAAACCCAACAGCATGCATTGCATGCGTTATATAAAGCATGCATGGTATGCATGCTGTATTTAACGCATGCATTAAGATGCATGCTGTTTTTAACGCATGCATTGAGATGCATGCTGTATTTAATGAATGCATCGAGATGCATGCTGTTGCTTCAACTCGTTTTCGTGGAATACTAAGTGAGCTTTTCGGTTTTATTTTTGATAAGCCCATCGGATTTCTTGTCCTTGTGAAATTTCCGTTCGAACGAGCCTACATGTGATGGGACTGTGACGAATAACGTACTTCGTACGTTATTCAGTTTAGCAATTTTTTTTTAATCCTATTTGAAGCGTTGGTATTCAACCCAGTGAGAAATTTATCCGACGACATCGTTTCGACATCGTTTTTCATGTCGTTAGGACTTAAAAGTGGTCATGAAAACGACGGCTTTTCGATAGTGAAACGTCGAAACGACATCGAAACGACATCAACCGTCGAAAAGCCGTCGATTTCAGGGTCACTTTTAAGTCAAAACGACGTAAAAAATGATGTCGAAACGATGTCGTCGGAAAAAAATTCTCACTGGGAAGTTGGGAACCGAAGTTGGACGAAAGGCCTACCTTACATAGGAAGGCATGTAAAGTAATATGGATCAAATTGTCTGTAATACAGACAATTTTATCTATATTATGGATAATTTGCGATCCATAATACGTTTGCACAAAATTCTCCGTAATCGAGTCCACAAGGAAATGAGAGTGTGTGGCTCTATAAAAAGAATTGTACCAGTGTTGTGTTTAAGAGTACTTATTTTATTTGACTGTATTTGTGGCTGTCTACCTGAAGGCAAAAGCTACCCGTTTTGACCACACAAAAAATAGTCGGCGCGACTCTACATGTTGCGTGTTATCAGATTTTGAGTGCGAGTGCACCTAGTTGGACGCCGGGCGGACGCTGGAAGGGCTTATCGGAGTGGCCGGCCGGGTAGGGCCGGGGAGTTTTCAGCAGTGTGACGCGCTGTTCCGCACGGCACCAGGAAACGGGTAGGGGAAGTCACGCGGGGGTCAAGGGTCGCCAGCAGCAGCCCTTATAAGCCGGAGAGGCCAAGACGCTGGATCAGTCGGGGAGTTGGAGCAGAAGCTGTGTGGTGTGACACTTGTGGCTGGCTCTCGTAGTAAGCACTTGTGGTGAGACAGTGGAAGCAAAGACTCTAGCAGAGTTCGAACGAGATCTGCAGACCCAGCTCTACAGCAAGTCAATAAATATTACCTATATTCCTTATTGAAGTTAAAGTTACCGGTTCTCTGACTTTGCGCCAGTACCATTTTGTTTTTTGGTATCGAATCTGGACTCTACCGTTACCGGCTGACCAGTTTTTTGGAAGGCATTGTTTAAAATCCTGCTTCCAACCTATTCTTTTTTCATTTACTACTACTGTTTGGTGCTAGCACGCCAGCCGGCCACCAGTGGGCGGCCCATGCATGGGGGTGGGGGTCAGAGTAAGCTGCGGTGGTGGCCACTACGTCCGCACACTTTTGTACTAACCAGTCTCAGTTCTAGCGCAGCACAACTGCTAGAATTACGAAGAGACAACATGCCGGTCAGGCTGATGGCCCTAGCAGCGCTCATGCTGATCCAGGAGGGCATCCACGGCAAAGGCATCAACCCTGTGGTTGTAAGTTATATACCTCTTTTTTAAATGGCAATTTATAAAATGGATTATGTTGTTGACACTTGTACCCTGACACAAAAGACCACGAAATTGTCAAAATTGCATCAAGTGAGGCCAAATCATCACTGTTAAACCGTACAAAGCATTTACTTTGCAGGTTGCAAAGCATTTGCTTTGTAGGTTGCAAGGATTTCACAGTGAATTGACATTAATCTCGCTTGTGGTCGTTTTGACATGTTCGCCTTCTTTTGGACTTTTTTTTGAACACATCTTTCTCGAACAGGGCCTTTACCTTGCGTACGGGGAACGCTTTTACATGTGTGACAACGGCTCGCTTCCCTGGAAATGGCACGTGCGCGCTACCCATTTCAACCCATATAAACCAAAAGAATTGCAACGCATAACAGGCAATGTGACAGCACATACTGCACCTCTTGATGACAACTGCTGGGTAAGACATTTCAAATAGAAGTGTGAGACATACAATACTTACAAAGCAAGTGAATTTTAAAGTGGCTCACAAGCAGATGTGCACTGAGAAACATTTTTGGTCCTGAGCAGTAAACATTTTGTCCCGAGACTAAGGTTTGGACGCCCACTCTTAAAAGCTTCAAGTGATTTTCACCGTAAGCTACAGTGAAAGCCTGCATCACCGTAGCTTACGGTGATTTTCACTGTGAGCTACGGTGAATTTCACTGTAAGCTTTTAACAGTGCACTAAACAGTTTTGCCCTGGGAACCAAAGTTTTGTTGCCGAGCTTCAAAATTTTGTTACCACACACAATAATTTTAGTGGCGAGAACTAACTTGTTTGTGCCAGGAACAAAGTACAACAACCGTCTAGTGCCTGGCATGGACATTTTTTCTCCGTGTGTATGGCCTTATCTGTCACACGAAGAGTTGACAACCATTACAACACTCATTTGTGCTCAAAACTATTCCAGGTGGCTGATTAACTCCGCCCACAGTTCACTAGTAATCGTGTCAATGAACGTATGTCCAAAAATATCAACTATTTCATTTAAAGGTATTTTGACACGAAAACTATGTATTCTGAAAATAGACCGAAATTCAATCGACTCGATTTTTTTGGACATACGTTCGTTGACACAATTACCAGTGAGTTATACAGTAGCTGGCTAAGTGCCCCCTAGCTATGAGAAGGTAGTTCGCTATTAACCAGCAGTCAAAATTCTTTTCTACAAGAGCTAACTAAAATCTAGCTGGCGGGCGGGGTGCCTATTCGTGCAGGCCAGGCGGCAAGGCGCCTTGGTCAATGACGGCCCTGGTAGGAGCACGGATCGTTAACAATGTTCACAGAACGTTCAGGGAACCTAAATCACGTTCTGAGAATGTTATTGGATGGTCTAGTGCTACAATGAGGTTGTCCACAAGAATGCATGTGGCAAAAAATATCTATATTAAAGTCAGCGAGATAAATCAGCCACCCGGTTAACTTTTTTTCTGCAAGTCACACAACTTTTTGCATAAATGATACACGGGTCACACTCTCCCCCGTAGCGCCGCTATTCCAATGCGCATTAAAATGCGCAAAAAAGGTTACACATTCCTGGCGCATTCAATGCGCATTAGTGCATTGAATGCACATTTAGGGTGCATTACGCGCATAAAAGGTTCGATTTAAAAGCTATTAACCCAATGTTTTTTTGAAAGGGAAAAGTCGTTGTGGATGCTCGTTCAAATAACCAATGGAAGGAAAACGCCTATGTTTTCAATTTTAAACGCAATGGATGTCGGGTTTTAAAAGAAAATGCACCAGGATTTTACGCGGCGCTTTTTAAGAATAGCGAACTGAAAGGCCCGTGCGTAATTAAACAAGTAAGTATGTACTTGGACTCCAAGTCTGTTCTCGTTTATGAACTGTAAATTAAATACTACAGCCAGGCTCGGCGATATAAGAGACCCCCAAAATAATGCTCTCTTGAGAGTTGTTCGATTACTTTCCTCGCGCTATTTAGATCATTATTTACAATTCTCACCCTAATGTGCGTGATGTTCCTCACGACAACTTCGGCGTGGTCAAGTAGCACTCCTCTAGGGTGAGAATTCGACACAGAAGAGGGCCAGCTGACTTAGGGCGAGTCTCAAAAGTACTATTTTATGTTCGGATGAACAACATTTTTGCGAATTTAAATACAAAAGATTTATAAATGTAAAGTCTGAGGCTGCGATTACTTTTATGACCGAAATTATGGACACGCGCCCTGCGCATAAATGGCAAAAAAATTATTGGCACGCGGATTAGCGTGAGCATAACAGAGTAAATGTTATGTTCACGCGCGGAATTCAAACGCCCAGTGGAACAAGGGGGGTTGATAGACGAAGAGGCTGATTCAAGAAGACTGGCCCTCAAAGTTTGTTTAGGAGGTTCGGGTTCGAGTCGAAGTGTGGTCAGGGAAAAAGTACGTTCGAATAACGTAATTGCAACATTCTGCACGACGCGTGCGCATAGTAAAACATAGGAAAGCAGCACGACGCGTTTGAATAACTCTAAAATTGCTATGAACACGCGGAATCAAAATTTCCAACATGTCAACAACAACATATGTAAGGGACTGCCTGCCTATGCCAATACAATATGGCATTTCTCACCCGGAGCCTGGCGCCTGCAAAACACGGGGTAGGCCACTCCGCAGTACACGGGTGCAATGTAGACGAGATGTTGCCTATCCACCAGGCGCTACGAGAGCTTGCATCTGTCGGTCACCTACCGACACCGACGTTTGTGGCTGCTCTGTACAGAATCGCGCTCTAGGGGTCGCAAACTCGTGGCTCGCGGCGAGCCGCGCACACTACTGCCAGCGCACTGTTGATCGTACGCGTTCACAAAAGCTATAGATTTATGAAAAAACGTTATGTTGCTCTCCTGGCAAGACTTGTCGCCTCAAGAAGAAAACTCTGCGTGCGCGGAGCGATTAACTCTCTTGTGGACACGCGTCGTGCGATTTGAAAACTAATTCTTAATCGCACGAGTATTCGGAAAACCCGCGTGCGCATAACAGAAACAGCGTTGACCACACGCGTCGTGCTATCTTAGACCTTTTCACTATGCGCACGCGTTAATTGTTAATCCGCGTGCGCATAACAGTTTCGGAATAAGGCAAACGCGTCGTGTTATCTAAGGTTGTTTTACTATGCGCAAGCGTCGTGCAGAATGTTGCTATATCACGTTATTCGAACGCTTTTTCCCCCTGACCGCACTTCGACTCGAACCCGAGTCTCCAAAACGGGACCCACGCCTTAGCGCACTCGGCCAGCCATCATGGCTGGTGACCGATGTGCTTGGGACCCTTCTCGTTCCACAACGCTATGCTGCACTCTTGAATTTTCCGCGTGCAAATAACAGAAACGCCGTAGAGTGCACGTGGCGTGTCGCATCTGTTAGTTCCATTATGCGCACGCGCTTTTATTTTTGGGCGTGCGCATAATATTTATTGAGTTGTGGACACGCGTCGTGTATTTTTTTTTAGAATATATTATCTAGACGAAGCGTGTGTGTTAGAATATAAGGGCGTCTGATGCAAGACGGGCTCTTCCGACGTCCGAGGCCAGACAGGACGCTTGTTCAGCCGAGCGCCTAGTAGGTATGCAACCCAACTCGCATCTTTTCGCGGCTAGTGGCGGGTCTTAGGGTGTACCCCGATGAGGTAGGCAACTTGTTTGAGCATGTTAGGAGAAGGGCCTAAGTGAGTGTC